GCGCACCCTAAGCGTGCTGCCCTTTGCACGGAGCTCTGCATCCCATGCTTGAAATGAAATGGCCCCGGTGGTCGTTTTATCCCCCGGAACCCAGAGGGATGCTCCGAGCTGCGGGGCTGAATTTGCAGGTGGATCCCTGAGCAGCGAAGGGCAGGACCGTACGGGTAGAGAGCAAAGGGACAAAGGGACAAAGCCCTTTTGCTGCCCCAGGGACCTTCTCACAGTCCGAAAGCAGCAGCTTTGGGTTTCCCCAGTGTACCCTGAGTGCTCCTCCTGCCCTTAGCATCCTCTGCTGGGAGCCGCTCTGCTCTCCGTCTGCCTACGGGAATCGGCCTCGTCCCTCGTGGGTCGATTTGCCGTGTGTCCCCGCGGACCCCCGTGCCCCTTTCGGGCCGCCGTGCACGACAGGTGACACTGCAGAAAAGGGTTGGCAGCCCCGACCCTTCACCCCCGCGGCGGGTGAGAGGCGGCGATTTACAGACGGGGGTTCAACGTGGATTTCATTTCACATGGATTTCATTTCACACCCCGATGCTGGGGAGCCCGGGGACTTTTAGAGTAGGGCTGTCACCGCCTGTACCCTCAGGGCCGGGTGATGCTTCACAAAACACCTTTCTCCCTCCTAGGATCCCACATCAGGAAGAGCACCGTAGGGTCCTCCCGGGTTCCATGCCATTTTCCTTATAGGAATCCCGGAGTCCCGGGTGCTGGCAGGGGACAGCAGCCCCATTCCTTCCCCCCTTCGTATTCGTTCCGTTGTAACTTCCCGCAGCTCCCCGTACGGATTTTGTACACAACCCCGAACCGACGGTGCCCGATGGCCCTCTCTCCGAGTGCCGCTCTGCGGTTCGAAGGGCGAATTTCGACGGGGATTTTAGTTTCGGGTTGGGGGGGGAGGGGGAGAAAAAAAGAAAACAGAACCCAACGAATGGAGATCAGTAACGCAGGGATCCAGGCGGGGTGCGGACGCAGGGAAGCCCCTCGCTGTCCCCGTTTCGCTTCAGGGCACGTCGGGGAAATGGAGATGATTCCCAGCCCTCAAAAGGCTCGGAGGCGCGAAATGTTTTGCAGGCACTGAAGTTCCCGTGTTAGCTCTCACCCACCGGAACGTGAGGCTAAAAAAAGTAGGGAATACCGATTTGTATTTTTATTTTTTTTTTAATGCGTGGCACAGAGCTCTGAGAAGGAACCGGGAGAAGCTGGGTGCCTTTTCGGGGATTCGGTTCTTCTTAAGCCACGGCACCGGGAGCACCGTTCCTAATCTACCCCGGGGCTCGGGCCGAGCTGGGGAAGCGCAGGAACGGAGCGGGGAAAATCCCCATTTCTTTTCCTTAAAGACCCACGTTAAGCTCCCATCTCCTCTCCTGAGCTCCAATTCTGCTCCTATTGGGGTCGCTGAAGGGAAACCCCGCAGGGAAACCGTGTCGGAGAAAGCCCCGACTCCCCAGATCCATTTCAACCCGGATCTGAGCTTCGCCTTTCGGATCAATTCTTTTATCGGAGACGGCCGAGAGCATCGCTCGTTGCGCTCCGGCTCATCTCCATCGCTTCTCCCGATATTCCCTCTCCCACAGCATCCCTATGGGAAAAGCATCTCAACTCCCCGTCCCCTAGCAGGGAAATAAACACCCGCAGATATAGAAAAGATCTCTGGGGTGTAAATGGGCAGAGGTGGGGGCTGCTGGGCGCTGAGACGGCCGTGTGCCGCGGGGAGCGGCTCCGTCAAAGAGCTCCGAACAAATCCTGCGCTGATGAGGGCTGCGCATTCCTGCGCTGCAACGTTTCACCAGAGGACGTCATGGAAAATATGGGCTTTTATTTTTTTTTTTTTGTGGGGGG